TTTTGGATTTGCCAACGCTTATCTTTGTTTTCTCCACAGATGTTAATAATTAACTATCTGCCTGGTCTCTGAGTTTATCAAAGTCCACCCTTTGTCATGTCTTGTGTCTTCATCGTCTCTTAATAGCAATAAAGACAATACTTTTTCTTTCATCCCTCAGTATGTAACATTATTCTACTAGATGATGTACCTGTAGTGTTGGGGGGCAGAGAAACACGTGGCGGGATCCCTCATAATGCCTCTCTAGGCGGGATGTATTTAGTCGGGGATAGTGGGGATTGTTCGGTGTGTTCTGTATGGTTGCCGGAGTGTAGGGGGGGAATAAAAAAGAAAAAGGTCACTTCTGTCTCTGGCTCCTTCCTCAAGCTAGCCTATGTCACATACCTACCTGCGCAACAATCCTGCGCAACAATCCTGCACAGTCACTTTCGGTGACAAGGTTTCAAATGTCAAAAGAGGGGTTGTGCTACCTAGTAATAAATTGCAGGAGGGAAAGAAAACATTTGTCTGTATTTAACTGAAGAGCAAATCATCCACATCTCAGTGATGGCAGTCAAAATCAAAAGGATATTTTTTTGGCTGGTTGTGATTTCATCGATTGTATCTTTCATGTTTTTATCATGGGGAAATTTATCAGGACACATCAGGTAAGTTGTATTTGTATATTGTCTAAACAGACATTAAGGATAAAAAAGAGAATATTTTCTGGCAAATCAGCTGCTAATTTGTGTTTAAAGAAATGTGTAGCAAAACATTTTCCAGCTAGTGTAACTGAAAGTGTATCTTGCTAATACTTGTATGTTGCATCTGTTGCACTTAGTTGGGCTGCTTCCTCAAGGAGAAACAAACACAGCATCAGGGTGTCTGATGGTAACATTACAAACTGGGTTGTAAATGGAAAGTCAACACCACCACATCCTGAGTTTAATAACACAGCACATAAGGCAAAGGATTCTGTTTCCACAGAAACAAACCCAGGGTCAAAGATAAAAACTAATCAAATGAAAGCCGTGGCACATGAAGGTGAAGCGAAGACTCCCATCCCCGTCCTCTACAAAAAAATCCTTCAAGAAACTTCCTCAGTGGGATTTTGAAGATGTTTATAACCAGGATGCTCCACTGAGACCAAATGTAAGCATAATATGACAGGAACAACAAACATATTATCTTTATGGGAGTGGGTCAACATGGCTGATGCCTGCACATTTGTGTGCAGTGTTTTGTACTTTTGGTGTGACCTGTGTGGAGTTTGTTTGTGTTTCTCATTCACACTTTCACACAGTACCACCATCTTTCTTTACAGTCTATTATAGCACATTTCATTAATGATGAACTCTGTCATTTCCTAACCTGTTTGACTGACCTCTTTGGTTCTCTGCCACTTGATTATGCCTGATAGTTCTTCATGTATGTGAGCACTAAGTCAGTAGAAGTGATCTAAATGACACTGTTGTTTTATAATAATAATCATTTATCATACATTCTCAGACTTGTGCCCAGTCTCTGCTAAACACTGAGGATGAGAGCTTCAAGAAGGTTTTCCTTCCCAACATACGCTTGTATCTGCACAAAGACAGTATCAACATGAACGAGTGGAACCGACTTTCACATTTTAATAATCCCTTTGGTTTTATGGAGTACAACTACAGTGGTAGGTGTTTGTAGGTGTTTGTATGTGTCTGTATGCGACACCAAGTGTGTCGAGACAGAAATTCATAATCACTATGTGGTTGCTGAGAAATGGACATGTGCTGATAGTTCTTCTTCCTTCTTTTGAATCTTGCCAAACTATTCCTCCCATATGTTTGATACCATAGCTCAAAATATGACACAGCGAGGCACGTGACCCCAGTGAGGAAGACCTGTTCTATAACTTTGGTAGTGGTTTGACCCAACATTAATTTGGCTTGGTGTGGGTTGCTAAGAAATGTCTAGGTCCATCAGGAAATTGGAAACTTTTAAAGCTGCTCTAATAAATATTTTATATTAACAATAAATAAAAAGAAAATAACATGAACAATTCTGTACTAACGTGGGACTGTCACTGCAACAACACAGTGCAACAAGATAAGGGCCAGTAAACCAAAATAGTGAGCTCAAAGACACCAAAGCCCTCTGTAGAGGGCAACACAATGACATCACACACAGTTTACTAGTTGTCAAAGTGCTGATTGGTTCAGCTTTAGACCTTGTGAAAACAGATTTTTGGTGACATATTGTCACCTGTTAAATTGATACGGTAAATTATTTAGAAAACAATATATTAGGAGTTGTGTTTCTCACCAAAAATACAGTCAATACTCAAATCCGAGTCCAAGTCCAAGTCAGCAGTACTCAATACAAAGTTGAGTCATGGGTCCTGAAAATCACGTGTCTGAGTCTTGGACTCAAGTAGTACAACATATCACTTGGTGAATGTGATCCCCATAGTGGTCACTAACAAGTTGCTGTTACACTCTACTGTTTGGTACTGAACAAGCTGTCTTTTGTGGCTAAAAACATCACCACGGAAATTGAACCCTACCAGTAAAGGCATGGACCAAACAGTTACACAATGAACAGAAACTATAAATCTCTGTAAATCTGAGCAGAGTTGCTGATTCAAGAGATGATTCCCTGATTGTCCCCATATGTAATTGGTCAACAGAGTGTCTTTGTCGGATGATGTCACTGTCCAATGTGGTGAATGTGGAACCAGATTAAACTTTTTTATCACACAGGGTTGTGCTGTTTTGCTGAAGCCCCCTTTGGTGCTGGTACCAGCTGTGTTGAATGCAGTCCCCTATAGAACTGAATGGAGAGGGTTGTGTTTTTCACACCTTTGAAACTCAGTCTGCATGCAGCCTCAATGCCACATGAAGTATAACACACCCCAGCTAACACTCATAACTCAGCGCCTAAGACATTGTGTGGTTTGCTTACACAGTAACCACATGTAGTCTATGTGAATTTGTTTAGGAAAATGTTCCTTATATAAACTGTTCAGCATCTTAAGACACTTTATCCTCTTGGCTTTCAGATGTTATGTCTTCACTGAAGCTGATCCCAAAACCAAAAGAGCCACTATTCCTTCCAAAGCCAGGCAGCGGTGGCTGTGTGCGCTGTGCTGTGGTGGGCACTGGGGGAATCCTCAACGGCTCCAAAATGGGGAAAGAGATAGATTCACACGATTATGTGTTTCGGTAAGTAAGAGGCAGAGAAGACACAACGTATTTGACACATAATCCATGGAAAGGGTTTTGCTGTGTCAAGTATGATGCCCTTTCTTCACAGTTGTCAGGTCAGTTATTAGGAGTCATTCTCTACATTTATATTTCCCAAGGAAATGTTTAGCTATGCAGGGATCCTACTGGGACATCATTTGTGTTTTGCTGATCCATCCAAACAAAAGCGTGCTGTTTCCATCATGGGCCTCCTGTATACAGCTAAAGACTGTTGCTACATCTTACACAAACATTTACCTTAAAATGTCTAAAATATGGGACTCAGCATTGTATACCATCATAAAACAAAAGCTAAATCTTGCTGTAAACACCACCAGGATACTAGTGTGTGATATTTGATGTGGCAGAGGATGTTCACTCCATCAGCAGCTGATTATCTGCTTCCACCCAGAGATGTTCTGGCACAGCAATTTGTTCTCTGCTCAAAGACCACAGCCACAAAAACCAAACAGCATTATACATTCAGTTTGACTTGAATTTCCAAAAAACTCACATGTGACATCATCACATGTGAAAGGCTGTTTCATGTGCAATAACCCACGTGTGCCTGTATGTGAATTTAGAACATCTGCATTTGATATTAAATGTGGAATTAATGTTTTTCATTTGCTATGTGGGTTATATTTCATTACATGTTTATATCGTATAAATTTGTATAAAATGTCTGATAACTACATGCTAAAATGTGAATCTTTCACATGTAACTTGATGCTCCATATGTGAAAGAGGCTTAATAAATTCATATGGATACATGTCTAACATAGTGAACATAGTGTAGCCAGCCTACATTTTATCATCTTTTCCAATTCTCTATGGGGAAAATGCTTTTTGGGCCAGTGTGCATCACTTGATGAATGCAGCTGTAGTATCGTGGTTTGGCTGCTACGTCAGTGTGAAGGCCTCATTCCTGGCCTTCACCATGTGAGGGCCTAAACCACCACTAGCAATGGACTTGGGTGGGTAATTTCTTTGTGTGTAGGTTAAGTTGTAGATAAATATTTTTTGATATTATACATGCACAATTGATCAATGAGCATGCACGTTTGATTAATTTTGTATTGTTAATATGTGTACATTTTCTTTTGAGTTACTGTGTTTCCTAGTCTATGGATGGGGGGCGGTTCATCCAAAAGCTTGGACTGAGGAAGCAGCAGGTTTAAATAGCTCCCACTAGGCCTGGATTGCACCAAGTGCCCAATACAAGGAAGGAGGGAGTTTGGGAGAAATGTATTGTTTATTTGTTGGTAGTTTATGTTAAAACTTTGTCAAGTTATGTTAATTTCTTCACATTTAAATGAAATATTTAGTTGAGAGCAGACTGTCTGTTTAGTGTTTATTAGTTGATTATTTTGGTAGTGTCTTTGGTCTACCCCTTGTGTGTGTTATTGGTTATTGGTTTGGCCAGCCAATATATGTGTGTCACAGGGTGTGTCACTTGTTAGGTCAGTTGGTTTTTGTTGAGGTATCGGACAGTTCAGTTTGCTGTATTTTGAGTTTTCTTATCTTTTGTTGACCTCTTTTGGGCCCAATTTATCTGATGTTAATGTTTGTATTTTTTCCTTACTTTTGGGTTAATACAAAGCCCATTATTTTGGACTTTGAAAGCTGTCTTTTGCCTTACTGCTTGGTCCCTGACAGTCAGATTTACTCAGTGCTGTTCCAGGGGGCGTGGTACTGATGAACAGTGCTGCTTTGATGCTGTGGCAACATGTTCACAATGGCAGTGCTAACAATGCTGAGTTTACCACATTCACCATCTTATTTTAGTCTGTTAATATGCAAACACTTGCCCGTTCTCACTAAACACAAATTACAGCTGAGGCAGATGGCAATGTCATTCTGGCAAATTAGTACCCTTAAAGATTTTGGCCTGATGTAAATTTCCAGGAATCTCCAAGGTCAGGTTTATTCTCTGGTCACCATGAATGTCTGTACCAAATCTCATACCACCAGAAGTTGTGGAGATATTTTATTTAATGATAAATAACCTGACATCAATAGACTGACCTGTATTCCTGTTTCCTTGTCCAGCTATTTTTGTCTCTATTTACTTTTTTCATTGCAAGTGTGTTTGACAGTATAGTTACATCTGTTTTGTTTGTGACAGGCTACTGACATAGAGTCTGGTCATACAGTAAGATTGATTCATATTCTTTGATGATAATATGTAATTTAAGACAACAAAAATTCAACCACGTATTGATTAATGAAAGCCACTCTTATATTTCTTTGTGTGGCAGGATGAACGGTGCAGTCATCAAGGGTTATGAGGAGGACGTAGGGAACAAAACATCGGTGTACGTCCACACAGCCCACTCAATCACTGCATCGCCGTATTTCTTTAGCAAGTATGGATACAGATCTGTTCCTGCAGGTACTGGAACTCAAACTGGTGTAATAATGTGCTGGTTTATACCCCTCACACATATACACTCATCTGTCCCCCTCTTACTTTTGGCAGGGTATAAAATTTGTGATGATTCCTGAGGGGATGAGAGACTTTGAATGGCTTAAGGGTCTTCTCAAAGGAGAAAGGGTCACTAATGGCCAGTACAAAAACAAGCGGTAAATTTTGACTGTTTCTTTGTTTTAGTAAAACGGTTATCATGCAGATACAAAGTAAAGTAGCATGGCTGTTGGGACAGACAAACACGGTGTTGCTCACCGCAGATTAATGGGCTTCTGTCAGTAATCACACTTCCAGTGGTGGAAGAAGTACTCCGATCCTTTACTTAAGTAAAAGTAGCAATGCAACAGTCTAAAAATACTGTTACAAGTAAAGGTCCTGCATTCAAAATGTTAATTGGGTAGAAGAACAAAACATATTAGCATCAAAACATACTTATAGTATTAAAAGTAAAAGCACTCATTATGCAGAATGGCACATTTCACATTCCTATATATCATAATGCATTACTGATGCATTATTGCATACATCACATTTAGTGTTGCTGTTGGTAAAGGGGGAGCTAGTTTTGAACTGTTTAAAATGTTTTAAGAAGTGTGTATATTTTAACTACGGGCAATTGTGCGATTAATCTCAATTTAAATATTTTAATGCCTTGACAGCACTATTTTAAACAGAAACCTAATGTGCTGGATAAAAATAAAGTTTAGTTCTCCAAACTCTCAGAATGTCAATAATTACTAACATGGCACATTTTAAGCTCAAAAGTGTGGATTATTCATTTTAACATTTTAAACCCTCCAGGCCAAGGACATACTACG